ACACATACAAAAAAAATGATAATAAAAGAGCTGTGTGTCAACGTGAATCCTCTATGAAGGCCATTAAACAGAAATAGGGCTAAGTGGAAGAGGTAGGGTGGAGGGTTAGGGACCTCTTGGAATGTTAATGATCCTGAAACTGTTGCTAATATCTGGAACACGGAGAGTAAGTCTATCAAGACTGTTGAATTTGGGGTGAGGGTTGTGGCTCAGCGATAGAGCGCTTGTCTGGCACTTGCGGGGCCCTGGGTTCCACCCTCAGCAGCACATATAAATCAATAAACTAAAGGTATTGTGTCCAACTACAACTAAAGAATAAATATTTTAAAAGGACTGTTGAATTATGGGATATGGTAATGAGAGGGAACAGAGATATTGTTGGGAGTCTCCCTGAGAACTCCCCGGGCCTTTCAAACATGGCGGTGGGCAAATTGCTAGTGGGAAGATAACAAGAACTCCCTGGGCCTTTCAGATAAGGACCCCCTAATGCAACATGGCGGCAGGCAAGTTGCCAGTTGGCGGATAACAAGTTGTTTTGAAAATTTTCCAATTGGTCCTCCAGTCTTCCGTGATAGTGGACAGCTCGTGTCCCCCATGAATCTTATGCAGGGCGGAGGTGTCCACCGTACGTGATGACCTGACCTTTACTATGATTGGCTCCGGGAGCTTCCTGGTTTAAGATAACTGACTCTCACTTTCTAAGCTAACACCAGCTTGCAATAAGGTGCTTCTTCTTTGTCACTGTTATCTGTGTGTTCGCATTTTAATCTCCGACTACGAACCTTGGCCTTTCAGATATGTGACTGGCAGGAGCATGAGGTTAAGGGCATAATTCTATAAACTGGGTATACTATGCTGACTCACACGTACTTTTACTTTTAAAATGCAATTTACCGCAGCCCTGCCTGCAGGATATGTTACATTCCTCAGCAAACTACCTGTAATCAGCAGGAATTGCAAGCTCCAAAAGCTTGATAAGAAAAATCCAAGTTACCCTAAAGTGAGGGACTTTGGGACTTTTGCAACCCTTCCACAGACCAGATCCCAGAACTCAGGGAAATAGGAATAATCCTTCTTCACCATTAAAAAATCTGTAAGAACAGGTTCTATTACTCATTTATTTTATTTTTTGGGCCCTGGGGATTAAACCCAGGGACTCATGCATGCTAGGCAAGCACTATACCGTTGAGTTGTATCCCTAGTCCAGGACTGGTTCTAATTAAAACTGGTCATCATGGGCCAAAGTGACCTAGAATTGTCATGGTAGTAGGGATTTTAAAGTCTGATGTCATCCTACTGTCTGTCAAAAGTCAAGAGATGGGGTCAAGTGCTGTGGCACACGCCTGTAATCCCAGCAGCTTGGGAAACTGAGGCAGTAGGATCGTGGGTTCAAAGGTAGCCTCAGCACCATCAAGGCACTAAGCAAGTCAGTGAGACCCTGTCTCTAAATAAAATACAAAATAGGGCTGGGGATGTGGCTCAGTGGTTGAGTAACCCTGAGTTCAATCCCTGGAAACCCCCACCAAAAAAAAAAAAAAAAAAAGTCAAGAGATGAACCTGGGTGGGGCTCTGGAAATTTTCTTGGGACCCCCAATAAAAACTGGAGGGTAAGAGAGGCAAACTGTCTCTCTTTACTTTGAGAGGACTCACTCTCTTTCTTGAGTGTCCCCTTTGCCCCTGTCCTATCCCCTCTCAGAAACTCATGCCTTTCACTCTGAGAGACATCTGAAATCTTCTTGACATGATTGCAAAAATTAGGATGAAGGAGGGCTTTTTGTGCTGCCTCCGATTGGCAAAAGTCCCCATGCCCTGCAACAGTAGGGAAAAAACCAGAATAACCGTATGTATCAGTGATTCCATGCAGTGTTTAGAATGGTCCTGTAAGAGAGACAGACTTTGTGCTGAAGGTGTCCTCTTTTAAGGTTTTTTTTTTGTTTTTTTTTTTTTAATTTATTTATTTTTTGGCGGACACAACATCTTTGTTTGTATGTGGTGCTGAGGATCGAACCCGGGCCGCAGGCACACCAGGCGAGCGCGCTACCGCTTGAGCCACATCCCCAGCCCCGTCTTTTAAGGTTTTAATTCTGCTCAGAGTGCCCTGAAATACCAGTTTCCTGGCAGGCTTATAACTGAGTCTTGCAGACTGCAAAAACTGACTCTGCTTCAAGAGAAAGTTAGCACCAGCAGAGACAGGGGACTTCACAGGAGAATAATTTAAGCAAGAGACCAGCCTGCTGATTGCAATGTCTGAAACATTTTCTGTCCACAAAGAGGAAAAACGGGGCAAAGAGTACAAGACAGAGGCCATTCAACTGAGCATAGGTCATGCCTGTGGTTATAAGAACAGATAGATATTCCAGTCTCGGAAGTGCACAAATGTCCGGAATTGACTGAAAATGACAGGGAATCTTCAGCTTCCTCAATAACCTAATTATAGTGAGTTTTTACTCCTTCTGTCACTTCCAGGCCCTTCAACATCACTAACAGGAAGGAGATAGGTGGCTATAGGACTCAGAAAGGTCAATCTGCCCAATGCCCACCAGATGTGGACCTGAAAGGTGAAGATCAAGGGAGCGCTTCCCAGGGAGAACCTGGACCTGCCAGGTGGACTGGCAAGCCACCGCTCCACTGCCAACGCTTGAAATCCCTTCCTTCCCTGTGGATCATAGGACATTGCCATCTGCCTCACCTCTGGGTTTCAAATTATTTGAGATAGTTTAAGACAGTTTGGGCCAAGTTTCTGGTGATTGAAGGTGAAAACATTCTCAAAGATAAACTTATTGTGGTAGCATTTTGTATTTTGTATCTATCAAAAATCAAAAAACTGCGGGCACAGTGGTACATGCCTATAACCCCAGAGGCTGAGGCAAGAGGATTGCAAGTTCAAAGCCAGTCTCAGAAAATCAAGGCCCTAAGCAACTCAGTGAGACCCTGTCTCTAAATAAAATACAAAATAGGGCTGGGGATGTGGCTCAGTGGTTCAATGCTCCTGAGTTCAATCCCATGTAACTCCCCTCCTCAAAATAAAAAACAACCATGTTAATTGTAATGCATTCTGCTGTCATATATAACAAATTAGAATAAAAATTAAAAAAAATAAATAAAACAATCATGTTTGTATAAATATATCAAAATAGATTCTACTGTCATGTATGTCTAAAAAGAACAAATAAAAACAATAAAACACTAAAAAAAATAAAAAACCATATGGTATGGAGGCACATACATGCCTATAATCCCAGCAACTCAGGAGACAGGAGAATGCCAGCCTGGGCACTTAGTGGGACCTGATCTCAAAAAAAAAGGGGGGGGGGATGTAGCTTAGTGGTAGAGTGCCCCTGGTTCAGTTCTTGGTGCCACAAAAATCCCAAGCTGGGCATAGTGACACACATTTATAATTCCAGCACTGAGGAGGCTGAGGCAGGAGGATCACTTGAGCCCAGGAGCTAGAGATCAGCCTGGGTAACAGAGCAAGATTCCCCCAACTCTCTTTCAAAAAAGGGGAGGGAAGAGAGAAGGAAAGGGGAAGAAGGAATAAAGATATGAAGGAGAAAAAAAGAAAAAGACCATAACCCCGTAGCCAGTAAGATTCCTCTCTTTGAAGATCAAAGTAACTGGAAAAAAAGAAAAAAAAAAAAAAGAGTAGTCAGGAACAGAGAGGGCAGGCCTGAGCTCTCTTGGAGGCCCACACAATCATTTGGATATTTGTACCTAATTTGTCTTGGAATTTGGAGTTTAGTAGAAGGACACTTCTGTCATCAGTTTGGTCCAAACTGTTGGTTGTATCTGAAATTCAAGGCTTTTGTGGCTGTTACTGTGACCTGATTTTTGCTTCCAAACCACTTGAGGAAAAAATCTTTTGTTCTTTTGTTTTGAAAACAGGCACACATCAGAAAAGCTGTGTTATTTCGGACACTGGTTATTTGCAAAAGGAGCCAACTCAAGTTAGGGTAAGCAAAAAGAAACGAAAGGGCATGGTGTCTTCCAAAACCCTAGGGCAGTAAGATCCTTCCATTTGAAAGTCAAAAAAAGTGGGTAGGCGGACCTCATCCCTGCTGCTCTCAGTACAGCTGCTGAATTCTTCTCTAGCCGCAGAATAGCACCTCTGCCCCTCAGTCCACACAGTGCCCAATGCTCTGCAGCTTCTAGGTGTAATGTCTCCAGTGCAACCACCCACCAGCCAGATGTGGTGTTTCTCAGACTCAACTCCAATTCCAAGAAAAGACCATCTGCTCAGACACAGGATCAGGATTGTGCCTCTCTTGTCATATACGTTGGAGCTGAGGAGTGAGTCACACAGTTCATGGTAGCTTCCTGGAGGGGGGATTATTGGCTCACAGGATAGGCAGCTCCATTTTGACTATTCCTCTCGACCAGATCTTGGGATAGAGAGGAAAATGTGTCTGAACACGCTGATACGTTAACTACAGCATGTCAAAGGGCCCTATTGGGAGATGTTGGAGAAGGTATAATTGCCATAAAGGGCACAAGGTTATCACCTAAGTCAAGAATGTGAGTAATCAGGAAGCAGACATTTATTATGGAACTAGGCTTGGGATAAATGAAAACCCACACCCTTATGTTTAAATATTTAAATCTATAAAAAATGAAGCTAAGAAGCTATTAAAATTTATGTTCTATCCTCTTACCTTTGTGGTAAAATGGGAAAAAAAAAATTCTGTACTGGGGATCGAACCCAGGGGCACTCTTATCACTAAGCTATCTCCTCAGCCCTTTTTTATTTTTTATTTTTGAGACAGAGCCTTTATAAATTGCTGTGGCCAGCCTTCAATTTGGGATCCTCCTGCCTTAGTCTCCTGAATGGCTGTGATTACAGGTGTCCCCACCATGCCCAGCTGAAATAGAAAATATTTTAAATCTGTGGTTTAGGTGATCAAAAGTAGGCAATAGAATTTAATTATTATTGTGCATATCTGGGGGTTTAATTGATGGGCTGTTGATGTTTAGATGAGTAAGAACAACACACATATACACATATGTAAAATTTATAAATGATCATATATTTATCCCACTCAGTTTAACTTCCTTGCTTTCATTTCAGCAACATCCATAATTATATTTTTATAATCAAGATTTTTTTTCACATAACTTGTACTCTAAAAATAGTTCTAGTCTAAAGCAAAAACCACAGCCCATGGCCGCAGACAGCCTGTGGCTTGTCTTTGGATGGCCCCTAGAGCTCTCAGAATGGGTTTTACAATGTTTTAACAATAACATAAGGTTGTGAGGGGAATGGGAAAATAAACAAGGAGAGAAATGAATTACAGGAGATGGGGTAGAGGGAGAAGATGGGAGGGGAGGGGAGGGGGGATAGTAGAGGATAGGAAAGGTAGCAGAATACAACAGTTACTAATAGGGCATTATGTAAAAATGTGGATGTGTAACCGATATGATTCTGCAATCTGTATTTGGGGTAAAAATGGGAGTTCATAACCCACTTGAATCTAATGTATGAAATATGATATGTCAAGAGCTTTGTAATGTTTTGAACAACCAATAAAAAAATAAAAAAAAACAATAACATAAGACAGCTTATGTGGCTCAGAAAGCCTAAAATATTTATTATCTGGTCCCTTACAAAAATGTTTCCTGACCCCCTAACCAAAAGCAAGGCTAGTCAAAGTATGGTCACTGGTATGATCTCTGAGCTGTGAAGCTGAATGTCAGTAGGGAATATGTTCCAAGACCCCAGGGGACGCCAGAAACTGTGGTTAGTACCAAATCCTTCATATACTATGCTTTTTCTTATACATAAATATCTATGATAAGTTTAATTTATTAATAGAACTCAGAAAGAGATTAACAATGATAGCTAGTAATAAAATAGAACAGTTATAATGACATACTGTAATAAAAGTAAATGTGCTTTCTAAGTATCTTAATTTCTCACTGCTCTTAGCAATTATTTTCAGACTGCAAGTAAACATAGAAAGCAAAAACTCTGATAAGGAGCCCCACCATACATCTGTAAGCACAACTCTTAGTTGAGCTGACATTTTTTCATGGAAGACTTTCTTGATGAAGGAAGCTATATACTGATTAATTTGGACAGGGGTTTCTTATCTCCTGTGGACCAGCACTGAGCAATAAATATCTAAGGAATTAAAAAATTAAGTGTAACTATGGTCCTATGATGCCTTCCCTTTTATGAAGCATTTTCACATAGGAGTATTGACCTTGAGGGTTAATTGAAGCAACTCTAGTAAATTTAAAACTTAGCATTCCTTTTTACATTTTTAGAAATTATTTTTCTTCTAGAATATTCAAAGTTATCCATTAAAAGAATTTACAATGAACAAATATCACATTTAAAAATCTAAATTACTTGAAGCCAGGTGCAGTGGTGCACGCCTATAATCCTAGCGGCTCAGGAGGCTGAGGCAGGAGGATTATGAGTTCAAAGCCAGTTTCAGCAAAAGCGAGGCACTAAGCAACTCAGTGAGACTCTGTCTCTAAATAAAATACAAAATAGGGCTGGGGATGTGGCTCAGTGGTCGAGTGCCCCTGAGTTAAATCCCCAGTACACCCCCCAAATTACTTGAATAACATCTTAAATCTACTTAAAAAGAAAATTATTAAAATATTTTTATAAAAATAAGATTATTGTAATTTTACCTTGTAGAAGAAAATCTAAGGCACAACAAAAAATTTAAAGTTTATTTGAAGAAGAAGCAATTCACATAATCATATGTTCGTTGGCTGCTTGTGGTTAGCCAAGGTTAAGTTTTGTTTCTGTCTAATGTAAGCATTTACCAGAAATGACAGAAGTTTCACTTGTATTTTGCAGTGTAAGCAGCGTTATGGCCGTCTTTAAGATCCAGTCGGTTTTGTTTGTGCAGGAATTCTTCAGGCCTGGTATCCTGCTTGAATAGCATTCAACAACCATCTGATTGCCAATGTCAAGTTTGGTGTCATACCTCATGAATGATACATCTACACCTACACACACTCACAGTTCTTACCCACCAGCTGGTGCATCTTATTAGGAGTTGATTTTTGGCAGCTCTAACCACTAGGTCCACTGCCACCTGAACCAGGCTACAAACTCCCCAAGGCAAGGCTGCTGGTCATTCACTTTTTGGAGTCCACAAGATAGAACCAAATAAGAAGGTGTGTGGATGACGGTGATGCTGGATATAACGTTTCTTTCTTTTAACATTCTTTTTAGATATATAGTAGAGTGTATTTTGACATATTATACATACATGGAGTATAACTCCCATTCTTGTGGTTGTACATGATGTGGAGTTACGCTGGCTGTGTATTCACATATGAACATAAGAAAGTATGTCTGATTCATTCTATTGTCTTTCCTATTCCCATCCCCCTTCCCTTCTCTTTATTCCTCTTTGTCTAATCCAATGAACTTTACCCCCCCCACACACACACACATGATATTTCTGATTGTCATATGATTTGCATCGAATAATCCTCAAGGATCCAGCAATTGTTCTCTTGACCGAGGACACCAACAAACAACCAATATATTCTTTTGTGTGAAATCAGATGTGATGTTGTAATATTGTAATATACTCCTATGTGAAAATGCTTCATAAAAGGGAAGGCATCATACAAATAATTACTGTTATTAATGTAGTCTCCGTTGCCCTGATCATTGACAATGACCCTTAACCTTTGATTGAGACATCCAACTTGCCCTATCCACAAGCAAATTCGCTGATCATCTTGTTAGGAGTCCGCCTTCCGGTAGCCCTTGCCAGTTCCATTGTTCTCGATACCCACAACCAGTCAGTCTAGAGCTTTTCCTGCGCTCTGCACCTTTATGTGGAGCACTGGAGATGGTTCTTGAAGTAGTGGAGAGCCAGTTTGAACTGGACCCCAGCCCTGGTGTTGGTCCTGTATATGCTGTAGGTCTTCTCCTGGGCGGCCAACTCCGAGTCCTCCGATGGACTGCGGGGCTGGTGACCGACAACCACATCTGTGCATGAGCCCACCAGCAGACTCCCCAGCCCATCAATAAAAAACTCTGTGAAGAGAGGGAGAGCGGGAGAAGAAATGAGAGCTGCCGCCAGAGAGCCTCCTGCATGCAGCTCTGCGAGGGCGGCCAAGGGAGAAGCTAGAGAGGTCCAGCTCCGTGTAAAGCCACACCCCGAACTCCAGGAACCTGCCTGTCCCGATGTGTTGGGAGGCAATAAACTCATTTCTCAGGCAGAGAGGCATGATCAGGCTTCTACGGAACAGAACTGTGGGCTCCCGTTTGGAAGGATTGAGAGAGAGAGGCAGGGGCAGTTACCAGCAGCGCTTTAATAGAAGAGGACTTCCGGGGAAAAGAGACCGCAAAGCAGAACAGAGCTGTAGAGGAATGAAGGGGAGAGGCATCTCAGATGGGCAGGGACAGCCTGGGAGAGGCACGGAAGTGGAAGACAGGTGAAGAGAGAGGGAGGCAAGAAAGATCATGAGCTCCCTAGTTTGGGGTGAAAGAGGAAGGAGACCCACTGGTGAGAACGCGCTGCGGAGGGGTATACCCAGCCCGGCTCCCTTCCCCGCTTCTCCAGCCTCCCACCTGAATGCGCCACACGTTGCAGGCGGGGATCAAAGCCAACTCTAAGGAGTCGCTCCGTGTGGGCCAGGAAGAAGTTGACAACGCCACTGGTCACCACACAGTGGGGGAAGCCGTCCAGGCGCTGGAACCATCCGTTCCTCTTGTGAAGACAGTCAACAGCCTCACTCTGTTCCAGCAACAGCTTGAACTGGAACACGTTCCCCATCACGCTGCCACCCACCTAGCCAGAGGGCACAGAGATGTGGTTTGAGAGCACCCTGCCTCTTCCAGGAAGCCCCACTGGACTACACCCCCGTGTGATGAGAATCGCACCCGTTCTGGATTTGCCCTTCAAACCACCCCTCAGTTATTCTCTTCTTGCTCTGCGACCACAGTTTGTAACATACTGCTGCGGGCCCTTTGGAGCTTTGAATTCCTGCCTTCCCCGATCTCCTTGATGTGAACAGCATTTCCCAAATCCAAAAGTCAGGCAACTGCTACCTTATGTTCTGATCACAGGGGCACGAGCTCTCCTGTCCTGCAAGATCTCTCAGCACTCCTTTCCGTTATCTTAGTTTAGGCAAGAGGCTGCCTATTCTCAATGGTCCATTTGTGAAGTGTGCATTTGCCAGATCTCCTTGCAGAAGGCGATGTACCTAAGTCGCCTTCCTCCCTTTTTGACTGATCTTGGCTTACTTCTCTATGCTGCCTGTCCATGCACCCATGGGAGATAAATGCATTTAAATGTTTGAGCTTCAGCAAAACAGGATGAGCAAGTACCATCATCCTTGGTATCCATGGAGAGCCAGTTCTCAGACCCTCTGCAGATACAGATGCTCAAGTCCCTTGTATGAAACGGCACAATTTCTGCAAATAACCTAAGCACATCTTCCTGTATACTTTACATTTTCTCTAGGGCTGGAGGTGTAGCTCAATGGTAAAGCACTTGCCTAGCTGAGGTCCTGGGTTCCATCCCTAGCACTGGAAAAAAAAAAATCATCTCTGGATTTCTTATGGCACCTAACACAATGTAGTTGTTACACTGTATTGTTTAGGGAATAATGATAAGAAATGAAAACTTGTACAGATTCAGTATAGTCGTGACCCTCAAGTGGTCTAACTACCTAGTACATGTCAGCAACAAGATAACTCCACCCCATGCCATTTTTGATCAGAGGTTGAGTAGGTCCTCTGTTATAGAACTCACCAATACCAGGGGCAGACTGTATATCTAGTCCTGAAACAATCACCATCATTTAAAGGTGACACAATGAGGTCTACTCATTGTTCCTTCTCATCTTTTCCTTCTTCCTTCCTTTTTATAAATGAACCCTCTGAGTTTTTAAGTGGAATAAATTAAGTTAAAGTCAATTAGCCAACTAAAGATGACATTTCCCACACCCCCTGGCATCAAAGTTTAATCTGGTGGCTAAATTCTGACTGGAGGGATATGATTTAGAACTAGTGTGTGCAACATCTAGCTCATGTCCTTAAAAGAAACCTTTGCAGGCCAGGCGTGGTGATGCACACCTATAATCCCAGAGGCTTCCCAGGCTAATGCAGGAGGATCAAGGATCAAGGTTCAAAGCCAGCCCCAGCAATTAGTGAGACCTTATGGAGCTTAGCAAGACTTTGTCTCAAATTAAAAAAAAAAAAAAATTAAGAGGCTGGGGATGTGGCTCAGTGGTTAAGCGCGCCTGGGTTCAATTCCTGGTACACACACACACACACACAAAAAAAAAAAAAAAAAAAAAAACCCAGAAAGAAAAGAAACAGAAACCTGTTTGCCCTGGACTTCCTTCTCCCCCTTGTTTCTGGCCTTCGAGGGTGGGGTAGGGGGATCAAGGGGTGACAAGAGGAAGCAGTTGTCTAGGATGCTCTTGGAAGCTGACCAAACTGCCAGCATGGAGTTTCAAAAGAGCAGAAACTACACCTTCCCTCTTGTGTAAGCTACTGTGACTTGTTGGTATGGGGAAACCAACATGTCTGAGTTCATTCAGATGCCCTGGGGATTTTCTACTGTGGTCATGCTACCTTACCTTAGGATACATTTCCTTGTCTTCTTCTCTTTTCTATACTTAATTGAAAAACATTTTTTTTTTTTTTTGGTACCGGGGATTGAACGGCTTAATCACTGAACCACATCCCCAGCCCTTTTTAAAATATATTTTTTGTAGTTGTAAATTGATACAATACCTTTAATTTTGTTTTATTTATTTCTATGTGGGGCTGAGGATCTAACCCAGTGCCTCGCACATGCAAGGCAAACATTCTACCGCTGAGCCACATCCTCAGCCCTCCAACCTTTTTTTATATTTTATTTAAAGACAGGGTCTCACTGAGTTGCTCTGTGCCTTGCTAATCTGCTGAGGCTGGCTTTGAACTTGAGATCCTCCTGCCTCAGCCTCCCAAATTGCTGGTATTATAGGTGTGTGCCACTGTGCCCAGCTCAGCTAATTGACTTTTTGTTTGTTTGTTTGTTTTTGGTACCGGGGGATTGAACTCAGGGGCACTCAACCACTGAGCCATATCCTCAATCCCTTTTATATTTTATTTAGAGACAGGGTCTCACTGAGTTGCTCAATGCCTTGCTAAGTTGCTGAGGCTGGCTTTGAACTCAAGATCCTCCTGCCTCAGCCTCCAGAGCCGCTGGGATTACAGGTGTGCACCACTGTGCCTGGCTAGTTAATTGACTTTTGATGTTTTCATTATTTTCCTCTTTTTAAAATGCCACTGGGCTCATGTGGCTTTTAAAATTTGTACTACAAGTTAAGCTTTCCTAATACTGAAATCTGAAATCCTAAATGGTCCACAACCCAAAACATTTTGAAAGGCAACATGACCCTACAAATGGTAAATTCTATACCAGGAAACTTTGCCTCATGCACAAAATTATTTAAAATAGTGTATAAAATTGCCAGCATGGTGGTGCATGCCTGTAATCCCAGCAGCTTGGGAGGCTGAGTCAGGAAGATCTCGAGTTCTAAGCCAGCCTCAGCAAAAAGCAAGGCACTAAGCAACTCAGTGAGACCCTGTCTCTAAATAAAATACAAAATAGGGCTGGGGATGTGGCCCTGAGTTCAATCCCTGGTACCCCCACTCCCAAAATAGTATATAAAATTATCTTCAGGATATGTGTATAAGGTATATATGAAACAAATGGATTTCACGTTTAGATCTGGGTCCCATCCAAGATATCTCACTGTGTATATACAACTATTCAAAAAGTTGGGGCTGGGGGCTGGAGATGTGGCTCAAGTGGTAGTGCCCTCGCCTGGCATGCGTGTGGCCCGGGTTCAATCCTCAGCACCACATACAAAAAATTCTCTCCCTCTCTCTCTCTCTTTAAAAAAAAAAAAAAAAAGTTGGGGTTGGGGTATAACTCAGTTGGTAGAGTGCTTGCCTCACATGCACCAGGCCCTGGGTTCAATCCCCAACACCACCAAACAAATATTCCAAAAGTTTTAAAAATCCAAATTACAAAGCACTTCTGGTCTCAAGCATTTAGATAAGGGTGGCTTTACCCTGTTTTAAAAAAAAAAATGTTCTGTGACAGAACCAAAGCACGGATCTTTTTAATCTCCCATAGGTCCTCTGAGGGAGTTGGAAGTGATGCACAAACACACCATTTTAAAAGTAGAACAAGTGGGGCCAGGGATGTGGCTCAAGCGGTAGCGCGCTTGCCTGGCATGTGTGCGGCCCGGGTTCGATCCTTAGCACCACATACAAACAAAGATGTTGTGTCTGCCGATAACTAAAAACAAAATAAATATTAAAATTCTCTCTCTCTCTTTCTTTAAAAAAATGAATAAAAAATAAAAGTAGAACAACTGTGAATTTTAAGGGGAGGGTGTATTTGCTCAAAGAAAAACAAGTGTGGAGGCAAAAGCAGAACTCACATCTCCTGGTTCCTTGGTTCCTTGTGCAGTACTCTCAGGCCCAGAGCTGTGCGGACTTATTCATCTGTCACCTGTAGCATCAGCTTCTCTCCCTCCCTCCCTCTCGGTGCCCTTTCCTCTCTTTTTCTCCAGCCCTCCCCTTCGCTGCCACTACAGATTGCTGGGGCGGGGGTAAAATTGGTAACTGTCCCTTACCACATCCAACTCGGTTTTCTCCAGGACATCCACCAGCATCTCAATCTTGGTCTTGTTGTTGAAGACAAAGTCATCGTCTACCCAGAGAACATATTTGGTGGTGACCTGAGATATGGCCAGGTTTCTACCAGCAAACCAACCCTGTAAGTGGCACAAACTTAGATCAGCAGTTGCCCACCTTGGCTAACAAGGAGAATCGCTGGGGATGCTTCCCAATAACCACGCTGTACCCCCTCATGGATTATGTCAGAATCTGTGGGGGTGAAGCCAATACACGGCCAAGGTTGAAAAGCTGGGCAAAGGGAGCCCATGTCTCAGGGAAACACAGTAAGAGACAGTGACTTTCTGGACAAAGAAAAGTTAGAAAGTCTTCATTGGGAGGTTGGGGTTGTGGCTCAGTGGCAGAGTGTTTGCCTCACACATGTAAGGCACTGGGTTCGATCCTCAGCACCACATAAAAATAAATAAACAAGATAAAGATATTTTTAAAAAGTCTTCACTGGCCTTGTGGACTCCATGAATGGACAGAAGAACTTTTTCATCTCACAGAATTCCTGTGATTCTTTTTCTACCTCCTAAGAGATGTCAAGTTTGGGGGACATCTGAAAAGTACTATAATCATTTCCTCCTTTACCCATGCAGGAAGGCATGTGGGGAAGAGAGAATTCTCTGCTGTTGGGGCTACACTTCAAGAATCCTTGGGATGTCAGAGACGGCAAGTTATTTATAAGGACCCCTTGTCATTTCCACACCAAATATGAAGGAAAATGAAATAACCACTTCTTAATGCAGAAATATGAGGGTGACCAGATTTCTTTCTGAATCTGGAGTTAGCAAATGGACTCAGGGAGAGACCCCAGGCCCTCCCACTCCAGGACTCCTCTTGTCTTTGGAGACCACTATAGTAGCCCCATCAGGGCAGAACTTGACTCTGGGGCCCTCTTGTCCAAGGAGCAAAGTTCCCCCAGATCTGAGAGGGACATACCTTCCCAAAGGGCATTGTATAATACTCCACATAGTCATCTTTAATTTCCAGGGGCTTCTTGCCATCATCAGCCACGATCACAGTCACATCTGGGTAATACTCTCGAATACTCTGGAGTAGGACTTTAAGCTTGTGGGGACGAAGGAAAGTCTTGGTGGCAATGGTCACCAGATTTCTGAGCTTCTTCTCTGAACAAAAAAAGAGTAGATGCCAGAGTTTTGTCTTGCAGGAAACCTCACTGTCTTGACTTGCTCTCTGATGTTGCTTGGTTTTATTTTACCAGTGCTGGGAATTGAACCCAGGGCCTTACACACTAGGTAAGTGTTCTACCACTGAGCCACACCCCAGCCTCCTGAGGGCTTCTTCTTCCTTTTTTTTTTTTTTTTTTTGGTACTGGGGATTGAATCTAGGGGCCCTTAACCCCTGAGCCACATCCCTAGCCCTTTTTTATATTTTATTTGAAGAAAAGATCCCGTTAAATTGCTGAGGCTGGCTTTGAACTCACAATCCTCCTGTTTCAGTCTCCAGAGCCCCTGGTATTACAGGTGTACTCCATCAGGCGCCTGCCCTGAGGGATTCTTCATGCCACATGTCACTTGATTGGAAACTGAAGGCATTGACAACACCCAGTTTGCTGAAATTTTACATCTTTTCCTTTTCCTGGTTCTGTGAGCTCTGCTATGCCATCTTCCTACTGTCTGTTACAATGCTTCCTTTTTTTTTCTTTCCACTCACTCTTTAGCATTTTACAGGCACCCTGCTTCCATCTTTTTTTTTTTTTTTTTTTTTAATATTTATTTTTTAGTTCTTGGCTGACATAACATCTTTGTTTGTACGTGGTGCTGAGGATCGAACCCGGGCCGCACTCATGCCAGGCGAGCGCGCTACCGCTTGAGCCACATCCCCAGCCCCCCTGCTTCCATCTTAATACTAGAAGTTAATGTGCTCAGAGCTTCACCACTCAAGAGGTCCAAGGAGGAGAGTCACAGAACCCAGGTCTTAAGAAATTGACATCTGTTCCTGCCATCAGATCCAAGCCCTAGGAGAAGCCTACCTGGTCATTCTCCTCAGGAAGATATGGAGGGAAGGAGGTCCATTTGGAGACTGCAAGGCCTGGATTAAATTGTCCATTCTGAGGCACGTGACTTAAAAGACTGGGGAAAGGTCAGCTTTTCCAAGGAGAAGATCCCATGATAAAACAACTGGAGCCGGTAGGTGGTCTGGAGTCAGCCAGTGGAGGTGGAGCCCTACCCCCCAGCTGAATTTGGGGATGTCAGCAGGGCTGGTGTGGGTGGAGTTAGCTCCCGCTGAAAGCCACACCCTACTACTGTCGGTAGGTGAGCGTGCATAACCCCAGGCAGAGCCTCTTTCTCAGAATGACAGAAATCAGAAGTCATTCCAGAGTCCCCTTAAAAAATTTGTCTTGGGCTGGGGATGTGGCTCAAGTGGTAGTGTGCTCGCCTGGCATGCGTGCGGCCCAGGTTCGATCCTCAGTACCATATACAAACAAAGATGTTGTGTCTGCCGAGAACTAAAAAATAAATATTAAAAAATTCTCCCTCTCTCTCTTTAATTTTTTTTTTTTTTTGTCTTGCACCTTTACTTCAGCTCCTAGTGAATCTGATGAAGGGGAAAAGAGACGGGTGGAAAGAGGCAAGTAAAGTGTCCTCAAGCTGGGGATGGTAGCACAATCCTGAAATCCCATTCACTATGGAGGCTGAGGCTGGAGGATGGGGAATTCAAGGCTAGCCTCAGCAATTTAGCAAGGCCCTAAGCCACTCAGTGAGACCCTGTCTCTAAATAAAATATTTAAAAAGGGCTGGGGATGTGGCTCAGTGCTGGGAGCCATTAGCCAAGTAGGTATGACAATTTCCTTGCCAGCGTACCCCATGTTGCTGACATGTTGCAGTGACATTGAATGTACGTGACCTTGCTCAAGGACCAAGGCAGATTAGGGTGTTCCCGGTTTTAAGATAATCCTGTTTAGGGCGTTCCCAGTTTAGGTTCCAGGTTTAAGGTTTAAGATTATTCCTGCTGGGAATAGGGCGTATCCTGCTGCCTGAGTTCCCCTTGAGTTCTCACGGGATTCAGACAGTATTTTGGGAGATAGAAGCCCAGTGGAGGTGAATTTGGGCAGAGAACGTGGATTTGGGCAGAGAACGTGGATTTGGGAAGAGAACGTGGATTTCCCCAGAACGTGATTGTAGACGGCTGGTGTGAGTTCGGGAATAAAGAGTTGCTGTTTGAATCTACAAGCTGTGTGGTGGCTCGTGATTGTGTGCCCAGCCAGACTGCGGCATTTGTGCCCAGCCAGACTGTGGCAGCTCAGTGGGTTAAGTGCCCCTAGGTTTTATCCTCCCACCCCATACTAAAAAAGAAAAAAAAAAATTGTCCTCAAGACCCTGCTGAACTAATCCTCCCTGCTACCCCCTTTAAAGTCTTTAATTTTTTTTTTTCCTTTTTTACCAACCTAGATGTCCTTCAACAGACGAATGGGTAAAGAGAGTGTGGTATATGTACATGATGCAATATTACTCAGCATTATAAGAGAATAAAATTATGGCATTTGCAGGTCAATGGATAGAGTTGGAGAATATCATGCTAAGTGAAGTTAGCCAATCACAAAAAACCAAAGGCCAGAATGTTCTCCCTGATAAGTGGATGCTGATCCATAATGGGGGAGGGGGGCATGTGAAGAATGGAGGAACTTCAACTGGGCAAAGGAGAGCAAGGAGAGGGAAAGGGAGTGGGCATGGGGGTAAGTAAGATGGTGGAATGATAATTACCTTAGGTACATGTATGACTGCACCTATGGTGTGACTCTACATCATGTACCACCAGAGAAATGAAAGTTGTGCTCCATTTGTATACAATGAATCCCTCTTTTCCTTCCTCTTTCTTTCTTTCCTTCCTTCCTTCCGTCCGTCCTTCCTTCCTTCCTTTGTACTAAGGATTGAACCCAGGGTTTTGGTCATTCTAGATGAGCACTCTACCCCCGAGCTACTTCCCCAGCCCCCCATATGCACTTTTTTTTTAGCATCAAATATTTTAATCAATCTATCTATCCATTTATTTATTTATTTAATATTTTTTGATACTAGAGATTGAACCCTGGGGTGCTTAACCACTGAGCCATATCCCCAGCCCTTTAATTTTTTAATTTTTAATTTTTAATTTTTTTTTTTTTTTTTGAGACTGGGTCTCTCTAAGGTGCACAGGGCCTGGCTTTGAAGTTGTGATCCTCCTGTCTCAGCCTCTGGAGTCTCTGAGATCACAGGCTTGTGCCAGCACATCTGGATTGAACTTTTTTTTTTTGGTACCAGGGATTGAACTCAGGGGCACTTAACCACTAGCCACATCCCCAGCCCTTTTTTGTGTTTTATTTAGAGACAGAGTCTTGCTGAGTGGTTTAAGGCCTTGCTAAATTGGCTTTGAACTAGCAATCCTCCTGCCTCGGCCTCCTGAGTCATAGGGATTAGAGGCATGTGTTTCTGCACCCAGTTAAAGCATATATTTTAATCACTAAAAATATTGTGGAATATATTTTTTTTGTGAACTGAGTGCTTTACCAAAGCCCTATTGGATGTTCTTTCCTTATTAATTTATAGGTGTCCTTAAGTAAAATTAGACTTTAATGTGTGTTGAAGATGTTCATTTCCCCCATGTGTCCATTGTCATTTGACTTTGCTTATGGTGGGCTTCTGCCATAAAAACATTCTAAAATGTTATATATCTTTTGGGGGGGGGGGGGTACCAGTGATTGAACTCAGGGGCACTTGAACACTGAGCCACATCCCCAGCCCTATTTTATATTTTATTTAGAGACAAGGTCTCACTGAGTTGCTTAGTGTTAAGAGTCTGTAAACAAGTCAAAATAACACCTGGCATTTTGCCAGGGGAATGTTAGAGTTCGTAAACAAGTCTGGATGGTGCCTAGCAAAATGCCAGAGGGAGTGGTTTGAGAAGTAACAAAAACAAGCCATTAAGTGTGGAGATTCCTTATTGGTTGACTGATGTATCTAATTTATGCTAATTAGATAAGCTGTGTGGAATGTATAAATACTGCTCCTGTCCTGCAATAAACGGCTCCCACTCCTGCTGTATCAACGTACACAAGTTATTCGTCACCCCCCGGTTATTTTGCTGCAGCCAGCCGGACTGCGGCAGCTTAGTACCTCACTTTTTGCTGAGGCTGGCTTTGAACTCATGATCCTCCTGTCTCAGACTCCTGAGCCACTGGGATTACAGGTGTGGGCCACTGTGCCTGGCTAAAATGTTATATATCTTATGGTTTTAGTCTCTAGGCTTTGTGTCATGCCTTACATGCCAACATTACTTTTTAAACTCTATGGGTTATTTTTTAGTCATTTAAAAATACTCAGATATGTGATCTATTTGAAATTTATCTTGCTATGAGTTGTGATATAGATTCAACTTTTTACCTTTCACATAGCTACACAGTGATCCCACATAATTTCTTGACTAATCCATCTTTAAATTGTTAATTTGCCCCACTTAATTTGAAAAGCTACCTTTATCACACTGTGAAATTCCAACATGTATTGGGTCTATTTCTGGGTTTCCAATTTTATTCCAAAGTGTATCTATTCATTCTCCAGTACCACTATTTTTATTACTATTACTTATTAAAATGTTATAAATCACCAGACAGTCGCTCACACCTAAAATCGCCATGGCTCAGGAGGCTGAGACAGGAGGATGACAACTTCAAGGACAGACTCAGCAACTTAGCAAGGCTCTATGCAACTTAGTGAGACCCTGTCTCAAAATATAAAAAATGTTTTAAAACATCGTGGGGAGGACTAGGGTATAGTTCAGTAGAGTGCTTGCCTAGCATGTGTGAGTCACTGGCTTTGATTCTCAGCACCACATAAAAATCAATAAACAGGGCTGACATTGTGGCTCAGTGGCAGAGCACTTAGCTTGATTACGTGAGTAATTGTGTTCGATCCAGGGCACCACAATAAATAAACAAACAAAATATAGATCGTGCCCATGTATAACTTAAAATAAGTAAATAAATAAATAAATAAAACATGTATAGCCAAAGGAATGAGAAGCTGTACTCTATTTGTGTACTATGTGTCAAAATGCAATCTACTGTAAAATAAATTATATAATTTTTAAAAATTATGTTACTTGCAACAAATAAATAAATAAAGATATTGTGTCCATCTACAACTAAAAAAAATTTTTTTTTAAAAATGAGGGAGAATGTGGCTCAGTAGTTAATTGCCCTAGAGTTCAATTCCCAGTACAAAAAAAAAATTAAAAAGGTATAATTTTCTTTTTCAAAATAAGCAGAAACCACATAGTAAGTAAATACAGTGAAGCAATACTAGGGGAATGTGTTCTAAATTTTTTTTCCCTTGAACAAAACTTGTGCTCAAGAATCCCACCAGCCCTGTGGTTGTGATCAGTTCTCCATATGAGAGATATCTCCTCCAAATTTCAACCAGTAGCTCTATAAGATACCACAGTGGAGCTCCAAGGACAAGGGCCTTACCTGGTCCGGGGTCATATAACTTGGGTATGACCGGATGGCGGATGGTCACTGGGAACTTGGCCACTGAGGATTTGGATGTCAGAATCACTGAAGGGAGAAAAGAGGTCAAAGACTGAGTAGCACCACTTCTGGGTGGAACTCCACGCTGCCCCAGGAAGCTGACTTGATGGGCTCAGGTGAAGGTGGTGGGGTGAGTCCTAGCAGGGACAAGATTGAGGACTCCACAGAGCCTATGGCGTGTGGGCTCCTGACTTGTCCCTAGGACAACCTGATGAATGCCTCCGAAGCTCTCATTCTCCCCCTGTGAGACTGTGCTGGGGGGAGTGGGCTATGGATCCCAGAGTCTGGATTAAGATTGTGCTGTGTACTCTCTGAGACACCTTGAAGAAATTACTTCACTGCCTTCTCTGCCTACAAAACCAGGATAACAGTACCTGCTCTGTTTCACCTCACAGGGTCATTTTCTGAAGGGAAACGTTTTAAAACTTGAAGGTGGGAAGAACTATCTTTTTAGCTAGGGGTGATGAGTGATCTGTCCCATGTTGCATTTGTCTTCTGTTGGTGTCCTGGGAATGCATCCTGTGTGGCTAGTGAAGAGAAAAGGGTGATTTTAACTGATCCAGAAGGAAACCGAGGCTGCCTTGAAGATGGCAGGAACTGTTCTCCCGAGGTTTCTGGAGCGGGGAGAGGAGACAAAGTCACTTAGAACTGAGAGTTCCCCCACATGTCCTCTTTCTGTTAGAGCCCAGGCCAGTATATTGATGTACAGACTGGCTCCCTCCTCTCTCCTCTCAAAGCTGAAGAGTGAGCTTTGCGACCTGGGGAATGGGAGACAGAATGGATGGTGCTTTGGTTCGGGTAAGTCTCTCCCAAAGGAAATGTGCTGAAGGCTTGCTTACCAGTGTGGCACCACCGGAAGGGGAGGAGCCTTTAGGAGGCGGGGCATGGGGAGGTCTTCAGATCACTGCAGGTGAGCCCCTGAGGGGATGGTGGGACCCTAGCCTCTGCCTCTTCTGTTCTCTTTTGCTTCCATAGGCTCCATGCCATGATGTGCTGCCTCCCCACAGACCCAAAGCAAAGGCCCAACCAATCATGGACTGAAACCTCCAAAGCTGTGGGCCATGATAAACCTTTCCTCTTTATAAGTTGATCATTTCAGGTATTTGTTATGACAAAACACTAATAGAGGTGGTTTCCTCAGCGAGCCCACTGTTGTGTGATGGGAGCCTCATGAATGGTTTGTTCTGTCCTTGAGTCACCCTACGGGATCAATGACAATGTAGGAATAGTATTGGATACAGTAATTGGGAAGTCTGGCATTAGACATAAATGCAAATGAAGAATCTTAAACACAGGCAGGCTTCCTGGAGAAAGAAGACTGAAGAGGAATCCCAGTGGTATTTTCTAGTTCCTTAGACATTTGTGGTCCAAAGACAGGTTCTCACCCGTGTCCACTTTGTGGTGCTGGTACCCTGTGCTGGTATATGTCATATGCTGGAGAATGAACTTCAAAAGCTCCCGGCTACTGGTTGAAATGATCAGCTGCTTCTGGCCTCTGCCCTGCACAATATCATCTGGGACATCAGCGAGAGTGTTGAATGTCCCCAGAGAAGCTGTCAGGGTGACCTGGGGTAGTATTAAGTTTATTCACATTATTATGCAATCATCATCCATTTCTATAACTTCTTCACCAATCCCAACTGATTCTTTGTATCCATTTAACTATAACTTCCCATTTTTCCCTCCCCAGGGCCCTGGCCCCTGGCAGAAAGATGCTAAATGCCAGGATAGGAAAGTATCTTTTCTCAGGAAAAGCACATGCACAGGATGACCAGCAGGGGGCAGAGCACAGAAGAGCTAAAGACCACAGGAGGGCTGAAGGACATTGTAGTTCTAGTTTTGCAGGGAATGGCTGCTGCAGCTGTATCCTCTCCACCCACTAAGTCCTAGACTAAGTATTAGGACTCCTGTGTGTTTAAGGAACTGTTTCTGCAAACATAGGGTATTTCTTGGCTTGCAAGATTTCTTCTTATTCTTACTAGATTTGTTCTTGCTATTATTCTGTGTTACTGAGATCAAACTTAGGACTTCACACATGCTAGGAGAGTATTCTACCACTGAGTCACACCCCCAGCCCTACTCCTGGGGTTTTTTGTTTGTTTGTTTGTTTTGTTTTAAGAGTACATTTTTATTTTATTATTTTTTATATACACACACTTTTTGGGGGGGGGGGGCTGGTGATTTTTTGTGGTTGTTGTTGTTTTGTTTTTGAGGTTTTTTTGTTTGTTTTGTTTTGTACTGGGTGCTTAATTACTGTACATCCCCAGCCCTTTTTTTGTATTTTATTTAGAGACAGGGTCTCTCTGAGTTGCTTAGGGTCTTGCTAAATTGTGAGGTTGGCTTTGAACTCACAATCCTCCTGCCTCAGCCTCCTGAGCTACTGGGATTATAGGCATGGGCTACCATGCCTGATCTTACTGCTGTTTTTGACTATTTGCCATCTCATCCTCACTCTAACCTCCAAAGGGAGATTTTTAGGACTTGGTTGGAGACCCTTTTCCCTTCTTACTTCATACTTTCCTGCTAAAGGATTTCATCCATTCTTATTACTTTAAAGAAACAATTATTTATGAATGGTTTCAAAACCAGCTCATGTCTTTTGGTGATCTAGCTGCCTGGTTGGTGGTCCTGCTAGGAAATTTCCCAAGCAACTCCAACTCAGTGTCTTAGACACCGAATTACTGATGGTTTTGATACTGATAGAAACTACTGGATAGATACCCATTGCCCACTCACCCCCTTTCTCCCTGCTTAGTGAATGGCACTTTGTCCACTCACCTGCTCAAGCCCCCCAAAGGAAGTTTTTCTTGTTCGCTTCTTCTCCTCTCGCCTACAGCCCATTGTGGGCAAGCCCTGCCAGCTCTATCTTAGACATGCAGCTAGCTGTACACCTCTTCTCTCCACCCCCACTGCCACCCTCCATGCTACTCTCTGCTCTTGTCTTCTGCAATAATCAAGTAGATTTGTTTGGTTTTGGTGCTGGGGATGGAACCCAGAGTCACTTTACCACTGAGCCACATCCCCAGCCCTTTTTATATTGTATTTTGAGACAGAGTCTCACTAAGTTGATTAGGGCATTATTAAATTACTGAGGCTGGTCTTGAACTTGTGAACCTCCTGTTTCTGCCTCCTGAATTGCTGGGATTACAGTTGTGTGTCATCACACCCAGTCATAGTCAGGTATCTTTATGAAAATACCCAAAGGATTTAAAGTCAGCATACTGCAGTGACATAGCCACATCAATGTTGACAGCAACTCAATTCATAAGAGCTAAGCTATGGAACCAACCTAGGAGCCCCTCAACAGATGAATGGATAAAGAAAATGTGGTATATATACACAATGGGATATTACTCAGTCATAAAAAAGAATGACTTTATGACTTTTTTCCAGTAAATGGATGGATATGGAGACTATTATGCTAAATGAAATAAGCCAATCCCCCAAACCAAAGGTTGAATGTTCTCTCTGATCTGTGGACATACAACAAGGTGTGTGTGGGGGAAATAGAAGTTCATTGGATTAGACAAAGGGGAATGAAAAAAAGTGAGGGGGGACAGGAATAGAAAAGACAGCAGAATGAATCTGACATAAGATTCCTAGGTACATATATGAATATACCACAGTGAATATTATTTACAACCACAAGACTAGGATCCTAATTAGAATAAGATGTACTCCATGTTTGTATAAATATGTCAAAATATACTCTACTGTCATGTATAATTAAAAATAACAAGTAAAAAATCAACTGTAGGGGCTGAGGATATAGCTCAGTTGGTAGAGTACTTGCTTTGCATGCACAAGGACCTGGGTTCAATCCCCAGCATCACACACACACACACACACACACACACACACACAAAGAATAAACTGTAATCCCAGCAGCTTGGGAGGCTGAGACAGGAGGATCCTGAGTTCAAAGCCAGCCTCAGCAACTTAGCAAGGCCTTAAGCAACTCAGCAAGATCCTATCTCTAAATAAAATACAAAAGGGGCCTAGGGATAAAGCTCAGTATTTGAGAGCCCTTGGTTTCGATCCCTAGTACAAAAAAAAAAACATCAACTGGATTGTCACTCCTGCTGAAAATATGATTTAATCAACAGATACTCTCTGAGAATGAATACGGTATTCCAGTGAGGAAGACATCAACCAGCACAGAGCCACACACAGTTACTCAGCTACAGATAAGGACCATGAAGAAGGTAGCAGAAGGAACTGGGGCATAGCTCATGGGTAGAACACCTTTCATGAGTCCCTGGATTCCATCCCCAGCACTGCAAGCAAAAAATGTAAAAATAAAACAAAACAAAAGGGGCTGGGGATACAGCTCAGTTGGTAGAGTGCTTACCTTGCATACACAGGCCCTGGGTTCAATCCCCAGCACCACAAAAACAACAACAACAAAAAAAAACCAGTGCAACAAGAAAGTGACAGTAACAAGGTTGGGGATGTGCTCAAGGGGTGGGGGAACCAGAGAAGACCCACGGAGGACAGAATTAGCTCACTCATCACCATTCCAGCTTCTATCTGGCATGCAGAGGTAGGAAAACAAAAGTTACATTTCACCCAGGGTATATCCCACCAATCAGATATCCCTTCAAAAGATCTCGACTTGGAGCATTCAGTAGGGAAAGAAGGACACTGAGCACTGTTGTCCTGCCAGCCCTGACCTCAACAGAGGCCACACAAGCCAGAGGCCACACAAGCTAGCAGCTTTCTTTGCAGCAGAAATAGCAGCTACCGTGGTGGCCCAGTGCTTTGTGTGGCCTTGGGAATTCTCCCCACAACTCCAGCCACCCCCAAGGCTGAGAAGATCATGCTTCTACACCCATCCTCCTCATGGCCCACCTTGGGCTCACGGGCTATTTCATCTGGATAAGGGCAGTAACGGCAGGATGCCCAGTGCAATGCTAGGAAGGGGAATCTTACCTCATAGACTGGGGCATCTGGACCTTCAAACTGGAGACCTGGAGGACACAGGGAAAAGGACAAAAAGTGCCATCTGAGAGGATGCCAAGGATCCCTGATGCTCTCCCCTAACTACACATCCTTGAGAGACTCTAAGTGTCACCAGCTTTCCAGAATGTTGGCTGACAAACCTCTTCTCTCCAAATCTGTCAGGTGGTGTCACAGTCTTTCACAAACCCAAGTGGTTCTAAGGCCTCCAGGGCCCTTCCTCAGCTTTGGATGCTGGGAATTCACTCAACTCCTTCCTGGTACTGAAGGGAAGGCAGCAATGGAGACATCCTTAGACAAGGGATCTGGATTTGTAAAATTCATAGAGATAGAAAGGAGAACGGGGATTGCCAGAGGCTGGGAATGAGGAGTTGTTGTTAAATGGGTATATAGTACCAATTGTAGCTTGTGGGAGGCCAACCTTATGGGTGACTGAGTTACACTCCCCAGCTGGGTGCTGAGGCGCTCAGTCACAGAAATGGGTGTGTCTTGCTATAGCCCCATGGGTGAAGCTATGCTCACCTATTCCTTTGTAATATAACCCCTTGTCCTGTTTAGGATAGAATCTTCCATGGAAGTGCCTTGTGTGTGTCCCCTCCTCTTACTGTGCTCTTGGGTGTGGCCTACCCAGGTGTCAGTCAACCTGCTGACAGTGGACATCATGAAGATAGACTCAGCCCCCTGAAACCTGACCCCTTGCCTCATTTGAATAGCTTCTCCTCAATAAAAGGGGTCAGCGCATGCTCTCGCTCTCTCTCTTTCTGTGGACCCTTAAGGTCAGAGGAGCCGTCACAGCGACCCCAAAGAAAAAGGTATTTGTGTCTCTTGTGTGGTTATTTTGTGCAGCCCAGTTAGCCCAGTTTAACTAGAGTGACCCCTGAGCCTTTTAGTCGCGAGAACAGAAACCCGGCAGTAGCTGGGTATGATGGTGCATGCCTGTAATCCCAGAGGCTCCGGAGCCTGAGAAAGGAGGATCCTGAGTTCAAAGTCAGCGTCAGCAACTTATCAAGGCTCTAAACAACTCAGCAAAAGCCTGTCTTAAATAGAATATGAAAAATGGATTGAGGATGTGGCTTAGTGGTTGAGTGTCCCTAGGTTCAATCTCTAGTACCAAAAAAAAAAAAAAGTACCAATTGGAGGGCTGGAGGTGTGGCTCAATGGTAGAGTGCTTACTGAGCATGTGCAAGGCCTTGAGTTCCATCCCCAGCACTGTGGAAAATAAAAATAAAATAAAAAGTTTCAGTTGGGAATTGTGAAGAAGTTCTAGAGATGTCTAGAGATGGGTGATGGTTGTACAACAGTGTGAATATACTCAATGCCACTGAACTATATGCTTAAAAATGGTCAAAATGAGGGTCATGGTTGTAGCTCAGTGGTAGAGTGCTTGCCTCTCATGTGTGAGGCACTGGGTTCAATCTTCAGCACCATATAAAAAATAAATAAAATGAAGATATATTTTAAAAAGTTATCTTCTGGGGCTGGGGATATAGCTCAGTTGGTAGAGTGCTTGACCCGCATGCACTAGGCCCTGAGTTCAATCCTCAGCACCAAAAAAAAAAAAAGGTTATCTTCTAAAAAAATGGTCAAAATGATAGTTTGTGTTGTACATATTTTACCATAATAAAAAGTATCATCCCAAATTCAAAAGCTGGGGATGATGGCACACACTTGAAATCCCATCTACTTGGAAGGTTAAGGCAGGAAGATCTGAAGTTCAAGTCCAGCCTGGGCAACTTGATGAGACCCTGACTCAAAATAAATAAAAAGGCCTGGGGTTGCAACTCAGAGTTAAAGCACTTGTTCAGCATATGGGAGACCTTGGGTTCAATCCCCAGCACCAAAAAAACAAAAAACAACAATAACAACAACAACAAAAAAAAACTATTCAAATCCATTATCAATTCACTCCAAATGTATTTACTTTAAAATCTCTATTTTTATAATATGTTTAATTGTAATTCAGACACACCTTCTTTATGTGGCCTGAGTAAGCTTACTAGACTCTTACCGTCTAGAGAATTGGCAATATAGATAGAGTTTATTTCAGGGCTGGGGTTGTATTTCAGCGGTAGAGCGTTTGAAAAGCAAGAGGGCAGGAACAGAAATGAAGGGAGCCGGCTCACCTGAAGGAGGGGCTGAGGCTCGGCCCTGCTTCTCTCTTCCCTTTGTCCCATCTGGGAGGCTCAGCCCCAGCTCTGGTACCTGCCTGTGGCACTTACTCATTGTTCCCTGTTTGACTTGTGACTTTAGGTAATTTGGCTCTTGCTCATTGATACAGGACCTAAAGAGGGCTCATCTGGCTCCAGGAGACATGCCCCATCCCAGCTGTCATTGCCACCCAGCACATACTTGAAGAGTTCATGGTGGGGCTGTTTGCCTCAAGATCCCAGAGCAGAAGAGTCCATCAGCCCAGCCCACTGAATCCATCGTCTCTGCACTGGGGGAAGACATGTGCACATGCAGGCTCATGCTTCTTGTCTCTTCTGGTAACACTGCACTTGGCTTTGAAAAGGGATGTGATGCTGAACTACAGGGATGTGTAAAAATCTGCCATGGAGGAAGTTCTAACCAGCAGAAATAAGCTTTTCAAAATGCCCTCCCTGGAGACTAGCTCATGTGTTGTCTTTGCCCTTCATGCTAAAATACTCCCAAGAGTCAACTTTGCCCTAAGATTCTTAGAGACACACAGCTCTCTGTCCTCTTCTATATTTTCTTTGTTCCCCAGAAAGATCACAGCCACTAAGGGAGATTGCCAGTTGTGGAACCAGGGAGGTTAACATTAAATGACATCACACCAAGCTTCTTGAGTTGTGCTGTGTATACAGCTGGCACTCAATGAGTGACTCCTTCTTCTCCCTCCTTTTTCCCTAGGAGAGTAAGAATAATGTCTGCAGCCTCTAGGATGCTGGTATACCTACCTGGGATGAGAATCGTGTGCAGGGGCATCACCTCTACTCCGTGGACTGGGTACCCAAAGGGGATGTTGGGCTGGGCCAGCAGGGGTGGTGGGCGTGGCAGCCCTTCTCTGTAGGAGAATGCAAACATGAGCAGCTGCCCTGATGCTGGTCCTGTGGTTGGTCCTCAAAGTGGTCCCTGTACACACAGCCTTGCCTTTCCAATGTTGAGAAATCAAAAGTAGATTGTTCCTGTCACCCTCCCCCATATCTTTATTTTCACTCCTCTCCTCAAGCTCTATTCCACAAAGGTACTGGGGCAGTACACAACAAAGCATATAAATATTAAAAATCATAACAAAAAAATGAAATTATCAGACCATGGGGGTCAACCCTCCTGCAGTAGCTGAAAACCAAGGTCATATCTGAACTTCCTGGTAGCCAGGTATAAAGTGATTGAAAGTACACTGTCCTTATTATCAACAGGGAGATGCAGATCCATTCTGGAAGGGAAGGAAACTTTCTCCAAAACTAAAAAATTAGCTATATCACAAGAAACTTGATTGTGAGTGGTTGTTATCTCAATATTTGTAGAGCAAACCCAGTAACTATTTTTATGGTTTGCTATAGTTGTTGATATCCTTCAGTCAATGGCAAAAGCATACCAATCCAGGAAGAATGAGTCTTTGAGGGACAAAACTGTGGTTAAAATGTAACTTTGAGGGATCCAGTTAACTAAGCATATCACTTAAATTACCTTGGGAAAAATTAGACCATTCCAGCGAATATGCATGCAAATAAGAAAAGGATAAAATTTTTAAATGAAAAAGGGCATAAATAGGCAAATGACAATAAACATGTGAAACATGCTTCACTTCCATATCAATCAAGAAATGTGTATTTAAAAAATAATGAAGCTTGTAATCCCAGTGGCTCAGGAGACTGAGGCAGGAGGATCGCAGGTTCAAAGCCAGCCTCAGCAATTTAGCAAGGTCCTAAACAACTCAGTGAGACCCTGTCTCTAAATAAAATCCAAAAAAGGGCTAGGGATGTGGCTCAGTTGTTGAGTGCCCCTGAGTTCAATCCCCGGTACCCCCGCAAAAATAAATAAATAAATAAAAATAATGAAATACTTTTCAAATTGAAGTTTTAAAATGGTAAAAGCAGTGGCTGGGGATGTGGCTCAAGCGGTAGCGTGCTCGCCTGGCATGTGTGCAGCCCGGGTTCGATCCTCAGCACCACATACAAACAAAGATGTTGTGTCCGCTGAGAACTGAAAAATAAATATTAAAAAATTCTCTCTCTCTCTCTCTCTCTCTCTCTCTCTCTCTCTCTCTCTCTCTCTCAAAAAAAAAAAAAAAAAAGGACTGGGGATGTGGTTCAGTGGTTAAGGGCCCCTGGGTTCAATCCTGGGTGCCAAAATAAATAAATAAAAATGAATACAGTGTAATGAGAAAATGGTAACAAATACTCAAAGCTCATCACTTCTTAAGTATTTTACTATTAACTCTGATCTTGAAACTCTTTCTGTACAGTGGAGATATTTTAGAATTGTGACCTACTAGATGTCTCTTTCCAACTCCACATCCAGTAATGTCACACTGGTAACTTAAAATCAGCTATGGTATGGGTATTTTTCCACCAGAGAACCTGGCAAACACTCCAAATCAGGGTGGCCCTGCTTGGAGGCCATTTAACAACACCCTCAAGAAATAACACTCACACTCATGAATATCCTCTACACTTTTAAAAGCACAAATGATGGTATACTATGCAATCTTCTTACATCTTGCTTTTTTTGACCTAATAGAGCTCTGTTCCCTACCAATGCATCTAGATTTACCAAATTCCTTTTACTACCTGAAACTTTTGTCCTCAGAATTGCTCCTCTGTGCTGGAAGTGAACCACACTTAAGAGTTCTGCCCAGAGTCCCACATTATTTAATAGCGTCCTGTCTGCCAGGCCTGTGCTAAACTGGAGTCACAGAAATACACGAAGCCCCTTTCCTGGAAGAATGGGAACTCAGACCCAGGCCCAGATGCCAATAATGAGAATACTAAGCCATCTTTTCAATAACAAAGAGAAAGCTGGGCTTTGACTGAACCTTGTTCTCGAATATTCTTTTGTCAATTATCAGATATGGAATCCATTCTCCCTCCCAAGATCTTCCATGTCACTCCCTCTCACTACTATGATAACACTGAGCTTTGAGTTGAACTCTTGAGCTTCCACCCAGCTTGTTAAATACATTCCATGGACCACTGACTGTTCACATTCACTCACAATTCAACACTGGGTTCCGTCACTCTGTCGCTATAGGGGCACACAGGGAGTGTTAATGTGAATAGACACTTGATTATGGATTAGGATGCACTTACTATCATAAGCTCATTGAGTGCAGGGTCTGCATTAGATTTATCTCTATACCTAACTCACACCTTGCTCAAAGCAGGCATTCACTGTATTTCAGGAGTTAAATAAGAAAGATGTGAGGAGCTGAGTGTGGTGGCACACATCTGTAATCCCAGCGGCTCAGGAGGCTGAGGTAGGAGGATCCTGAGTTCAAAGTCAGCCTCAGCAAAAGTAAGGCCCTAAGCCACTCAGTGAGACCCTTTTTCTAAATTAAAATACAAAATAGGGTTGGGGATGTGTCTCAGTGGCCGAGTGCCCCTGAATTCAATCCCCAGAACCAAAAAAGAAAAGAAAGAAAGATGTGAGGAACATCATGGAGGAGCTGAACTGAGCATCTCTCTGCCCAGCTAATTTTTACTTTCTTTCCTCACATAATAATTACATCATGATTTTGGTATAGAATAATATTTATTGTGTATATTATTGTAACTATGTTCACATTAATCATGAATAAGCCATAGATTGTTTTTTTGCCAATTGCTACATTTTCTTTGCCAAACTTATACTTCCTTGTTTGCCTAAAAGCTTTCTGTACGTCATTGATACTTGACCTTGGAAGTCTGAGCCAATAGTATAAGTCTCTCGGTATATTTAAATGTATTAAGCAATGTGTCTGTTTCTCCTCTGTCACAGATATGTCTCCTACAGCCTTATTTCTATCCCTCTGTTGACCACTTAGGCTTTGCTTGATGCATACCTGTCTTCACCACCATCCAAGTCAACCATTATTATTGGGCTCTGTTGGCTTTTGTTCATTCCTATATTGTCTAGTATAATCCCAAGAACACTGGGCATTTCCACAGGGGGAGAAGGGGAAGATGCGGACATGCCCAGGAACTTCTCCAGCTCCATAGCATTCCCTGCTTGGAATCAGTCTCTTCTGATAATTCCTCTGCCCAGCTCCCTCCACCCTAGCACTCCACCCAGGACCCCTTAACCTTCCCCTGGCTCTCCCCATCTCACCCCCCTGGGACTCTTCAAATACCTTTCTCTTTTCTTTCCTTCTCCACCTGAGATATTCCCTCCTGGTGACAACCAACAGTTCCCAGGGTGGAGACAGAAGCTGACTAACCATAGGAGCATGTCCCCTGTGCCTCCCCTTACACCATTCTCTTATTTGATGCATGTTTACAGAGTCTTTCTTTGTGTCAGCCACTGTCTCAGGTCTGGAGTCTCTGTGTACAGAAATGTCATGAATCAGTGCCAGAGAGAAACTGGGAGACGATCAGACAAATGGTCTCAAGGTGAGAACTTGTCACACCAATGTATGGCCATCTCTATACTTAGATTGTTATTATTTGTTTATTTATTTATTTTGCAGTACTGATAATAGAACTCAGGCCTTACATATGCGAGGTGTGTGCCCCACCACTAAGCTGTATCTTCAGCCCTTTTCGTATCTCCCCACTGTCCTATAATCTCACAGAGAACAGGATGATCATGATGAAGGTGTTCAATCATATTACAAAGCAGATACAGTTTTAAGCCCTTTCCATCTATCAACTCCTTAGATCCTTAGGATGACCCTAAGAGCTAAGTACCATTTTTGTGTTACAGAGAAGGCTAAGCAGATTGTCCAAGGTCGCTAGCAGAAGGTGGAGGCTATAGGACCTGAGTGCAGCTGGCCTGCCTCCCATGCCCCAGCCCCATTGCTTTGCACATAGTCAGATGTGCCAGGTTCAAATCCATGGCAGAATCACCTGTGTATCCCATTGGCTATGTGGTTTTCAGCACTCCCTTCCTACTGGTGCCTGAATCTCTCTCCCAGGGACTCCTCTACTTGCATGTGATTTGGGGATAGTGGCTCACTCCAAAAATCAAACACAGAGGGATTTGACTGGGTCCTTCTCTTACTTTTGATTCATGACTTTGGCTCAGTCAACAGAACACTAAGGCAATGACCTGGGGACAGTATATTGCAGAGTTAATGACAACATAGGCACCAGATGGCTCTGGGGCCTGACCAGACCTTTAGTGTCCCCTTGGCTCTTGTCCAGCTTCCAGCCTGCCCATCTTACCATCTAGGGATTTGATGAAACCCCAGAATCCTTCCCACCAATTCCCTCTTGATATCAGCCAGAGAATCAATTTCTTCCCTTTTCAACTAATAGTCTTGGTTGATACACGCACTGAGTGTTTGCACCTCTTGTAATTAAAAAAAAAAAAGTGACATGCCCCTTTTCACATATGGCAGGTGAACTGTATGTTCCCAATATACAAATGAATAAAATAATGCAACTTGGTGATGAGTACAGAGCGACCCGCTGAGATGCCTGGGTGCATGGAGGCTCTCCCACCATCACCCTAACAACTAGTTTCAAAATACCTCCATTCCTTTTTCTTCTTCTGTTATGAAATATTTTATGCATGTTCTATAAAACTTCTCTTAAGGACCATGTCCTCAATTCCCTTCTCATTTATTCCCGATAGCTCCTGCCAAGAGAAGGAAATCCTGGTTTTTCTCTTAAGACCCACTCCAACTCTCCCCAGACCCATGATCCCCCCGGCCCGCATTACCTCCTCTGAAAGTGTTCAAATTCAGCCTGTCTCCTTGCCTTCACCGCTGGGAGTTCGCTTTGATTATAGGCATCCTGAAAGTTATAACCTCCTTGCCGTCCTTCACATTTGCACTGCTTTTTAGGAAACAGCCTAGAGGAAGCAAGAGGGCTGTAAACTTGGGTTGGGTGGGAGGGAACCTGAGGTCCAATTCAGTGTGTCCTTAGCCCTAAGGATCTCCTTTATCACACCCTCGAGATCCTGGAATCCTCCAGCCGAGACACAGGTAGGGAGGGAAGGGAGGATTGAAGATTCCCTCCTCTCTCTCATGATATTGACATTGATCTCTCTCTCTCTCTCTCTCTCTCTCTCTATATATATATATATATATATATATATATATATATATCCCCATCCATCCCAGGCTGGGCTTGCAATCCTCATGCCTCAACCTCCCAAGTCACTGGTATTACAGGCATGAACCTCAGCATCTGGCTTTCCCTCTCTTGAATTGTCCCCTTCACCTGGCCTCTTTCATCCTGAGAGCCACAGGAACCTCAGCAATGTCCCAGTCCCATGAGGAGGGGAGGGCAAAGCAATAGGAACGAAATGTCTCCCTTTAGTCTTGGCCCATTGGGTCCTCCAAGTATTAAGGGATTTTGCTGAGTGCTACAGAGAACAGAGATTGTGCTCTGTAGACCAGGCTCTCTCCTGGCTCCTACAACTAGGAATCACTTTAGCAGATCAGCAGAGGTTCAGGAAGGCAGGGAGCTGTCTGTACACTGGGCATAGCGGGGCTCTGCCCATATGAGAGGCAAGGAAGAGAGCAGGAGGGCGAGGGTGGAGAGAGAACACTCAATGGCTCACCAGATTCCATCATAGGAAAACAGTTTCCGGAGGTGCTCCTCAGGAAGAAGTTTCAGCGGCAGGTGTTCATGCTCTGGCTTGAAGCTGCCGAATGCTACTGGAAGGGACACACTTCTGAATACAACTAGGACAATGCTGAGTACCAAGATGAAGGCTGACGCCTTGAGGAGCCACAAATATCTAGAGATGATGGAAATATAAAAAAGCAAAACACTTTAACAACTCTTCCTCCTCCTCCTCTTCCACTTCCATTTTCTATTCTGGGCGGCTAGGGATGGAACCCAGGGACTCTGCTCTTGCTACATCCCCAGACTCATTAAAATCTCTTTTTTTTAAACTTCATAATAAATGGCATGGTTACATGATATAAATGAGAACAGTAACTTGAGGAAAAATGCAAGTTGAACCTTCTTCTTATACTGATCACCAAAATTGGTTTCTGATAGAGAGTGAAAGAATCAAGTTGCAATAAAAGTATTCAGAAACATTTCAAATAAAAGTGAATAAAACTGTCTCCAAAAAATGAAGAAAAAAATATAACAGTGGTCCACTTTATACTGTGAATATAGCCCTTGCTGCTCTGACACTCTAACTTATTTTTTAAATGGACATGTTTCTTTCTGTTCCTCTCTAGATCCTCCCTAATCCCATGGGCAAACAGGATTATCTTTCTTCCCCATCCTAGGCAGAATTATCTGTACACACACACATGCCACAGGACCAATGTAATTCAGGCTTAGGGATGGAACCAGAAGTTCTCAGAAATGACTGTCTCCCAAATCAACAAGTGAATTACAACTCCAACAGAGAACATATGGTCTGTAGCCTTTGCGTCACCTCTTTAAAAACTGCCTGCTCCCCTGGATGGGCAGAATCACAGGCCCTGGGACAGGAGTTCCCTGTGTTCCTCCTTTGCTAGCAAAGCAATAAGACTTCTTTTTCCTTTTACGCAAAACCTTGTCCTTGTTATTGCATGGGCATCAGGGACAAGAAGCAAGCTTTTGGTAATACTCGCCTAATACGTGCAAAGCCCTAGATTTGATTCCCAGCACAAAGAAAAACAAAGATACCTTCTGATTGTGTGTTTTGTCACTATATTCATTTTATGATTTATGACACTTTGACAGCACAGATACATCTACAATGGAATTGGGTGTGGTGATGCACACCTGTAATCCCAGCTCGCTACCAGAGAGAATGAGGTTCAAGATCAACACAGCGAGACCTCCAGTCAGAAGAAGGAGGAGGAGGAGGAGGAAGGAAAAGAAACACCTTTAATAGGTGTGAGGTCCTTGCTTAGCATCTGGGTGGCCATCCTAAGTAACAGCCCCCATTTTCCTGCCCAAGGGAATGTTACCACTTCCTCAAACCAACCTCACCCTTAATCACCCACATTCAGACCCACCTGGCTCTAATGCCTGAGCCTCTCTCATAAAAGTCCCAGAACTTGGAGCTGGGGTATGACTCAGCAGTAGAGGGCTCGAATAGCCCATGCAGGGCGCTGGGCTGGCTCCTCAGCACCACATATTTTTAATAAAGGCATTGGGTCCAACCCAACTAGAGACAAAATATTAAAAAAAAAAAAAAAACAAGTCCCAGAACTCAAGCTTGTGCTGCCTGTCTCTACTATGGAGGGATGTTGCTTTTATTTGTCAGCTCTGACAAATAAACTCTCTCATGTGTATCTCTGGCTGGTCTCCGTGTTTCATTACTTGCTCGCCCATTTCCCACTTTCTCCCTTTCCCTTCAATAGGGAAGTCTAGATGTTTAAATATGCATCAGAACTTTTAAAGATATCTGCATGGTGAAAAATAACTCTGAAGTAAAAAAGAGTAATGTTGCCAAAATCTTGGTCCCTGTCTCCAATGCCAATTCAATAACCAGGACACGGTTTTGAGAAAAAGGAACAAGAAGGTTTATTGTTTTACAGAAGACTTCTGTCCCAGAGGCTGTGATTCTGCCCAACAGCAGGAATAGGGGGATTTTAAAGAGATGATTCAAAGGCTACATTCTACTTGTTCTCTGTTGGAGTTGTAATTCACTTGTTAATTTGGGAGATAGTCATTACCACTTACTTTTGGTAGGACTGACACAAGTGTACCTCTTAAGTTACATTAAAAAACAAACAAAACATTGTTTTTCCTTTGAAATGTCCATGTAGGACTGTGCTCAGCCTGTACTCTCCTGTCAGGTGTTTAAGACCAGGTTGGTCAAAACTGACCTTGTTCCTATCTACCCTTAAGAGTCAGCTGAGGGCTGGGGTTGTGACTCAGCAGTAGAATGCTCACCTAGCACGCATGAGGCCCTGGGTTTGATCCTCAGGTCCACATAAAAAATAAATAAATAAAATAAAGTTACTATATCCAACTACAACTAAAAAATAAATATTAAAAAAAAAGAGTCAGTGAGATTCCTCAGAGATTACTCTTGGGAATGTGTGAGAAGTCTCTTGGCTCCTTTAACCAGTGGTGCCATCTTCCAGGATGAGTCAGTGTCTTGTTAACCATAAGTGACTTCTCTTGGAAGCATCAATGACACTTCCATCTCCAATGACAGTCTTCTTTGCAGAATGTGCACTGGTTGGCTTCCATGGTCCCTTCCTTTTTTGGGGGGGAAGATATCTTTTCAATTGTTTTTCTATTTTTTTCTCTAGGGTCCTCCGGATCAGCAGATTGGGTGACTCATGAGAGTTGCAGGGCCCAAAGAGGGGTTCCTTCATTTTCTGAATTCTGGCTTAGGGCCAAAGTAAGGGCAAGGCCCAAAATGTTGGCTGCATTTTCCTCAGTCCTTTTACTTCCTTGACTTTGGTCTCCAAGTGTTTGGTTTTAAACACCCAGCAGGTTAGTTTCACCATTCTTAAAGTGGGAGTAACAGGTTATGACTTCAATATCTATGGTTTTACAGTTACCCATTGAAAGGACACTTGTAGAGTCCACACAAAGTCCAAAGACCACACTACACACCAGAATCTCATGCAAGGGGTCAGGGAGGGTTTCAGGTGGGGGCAGAGTCTCTGGAGTCGGAGGAGTTGACCATGAGTCATAGGTCTCTGTCTTGGGCATCGGGGGCTGGGAGAAGAAGTAGGCAACAGTTCTAAAATGTACAAGGAAAATACTATTATGGGCAATGACCAACAGACTCCATTTTGCTGAGACTCCATGCCACATAAGAAATGCTTCTCCCATGGGAAAGCCCTGCCTCTGTACCCATCATCAGTTGCTTAGCATAGCATGTTTGACAACACAAAATGGCAATTCTTATACAATGTAAAAGTGTTCTCTCTGTTTCCCATTTTTCTTGGACTATGTACCCTGTCAGAGATTGATTGTCTAGATGTTGGTAACCATTCTTTTTTTTTAATATTTATTTTTTTAATATTTATTTCTTTAGGTTTTAGGTGGACACAGTATCTTTATTTCACATTTATATGGTGCTGAGAATCGAACCCAGTTCCCCACGCATGCTAGGCGAGTGCGCTACCACTTAAGCCACATCCCCAGCCCAGTAACCATTCTTTAACTTGTACTCAATTAGGGACATTTTGGCCCCTTTTCTGCTTATGATTTTAGATCTCATGATGTTTGTTTATGGTTTTGAATCACAATAACAGCCACTTATAATAAATGTGGTTTTGAACTATAAAAGGTATACTCAAACCCCGAGAAGGGGTCGAAGGGTGTAGACTTGCAGCCTACCCCTTGAACCACCAGCTGGTAGGTCCAGACCACACACTGGTGAATACAGTTTCTGTCTCCTGCTTTAAGATCGACTTGGTGACATATTGCAATCTTGCCTTAACAATATAAAATGAAATTAACAGAGAAAAAAAATACTTGTGTAATAACTATGAACCAAGAAAAATGATTTTTATAATCTTAAACTTTACTTCATTATATATTATATGCCCTTTGTATTCTGAGATCTCAGTAATCTTTATAACAAAATTTGTTCTTTTGAATACAACTCTAAATGAGCTCAAGTCTAGCCTATTTTGGAGCCATTCTAACATGGAGTAAGGTGGGAGGCATAGTCTTATCTCAGGTAAGGCGGGGCTCTTGACAGATAGCACACTACAACATTACATCTAAAACATGAATCAAACAAAAACTAAGAGAGCTTTTCACTTTCTTTTTGTGGAAAAAGTGGCAAGATGCTTCTATGTCTTATGCAACTTAAACATTCACAACTTCAGGGCTGGGGTTTGGCTCAGTGGTAGAGTGTTTGCTTAGCATGTGTAAGGCACTGGGTTCGATTCTCAGCGCCACATGGGCTGGGGATGTGGCTCAAGCGGTAGCGCGCTCGCCTGGCATGTGTTCGACCCTAGAACCCAAGAAGGGTGGGGAGGGCTGGGGATGTGGCTCAAGTGGTAGCGCGCTTGCCTGGCATGTGTGCGGCCCGGGTTCGATCCTCAGCACCACATACAAAGATGTTGTGTCCGCCAATAACTAAAAAATAAATATTAAAAATTCTCTCTCTCTCTCTTTAAAAAAAAAAAAAGAAGGGTGGGGAAAGCTCCGCCACATTTCTGCGACTGAAGGCCTCAGCACCTAGCCCGGGTCACGTGTAAGGTTGGTCTCCCACAATCATAACTTCTTTACATCCTTAGTTTTGTTCTATCTTTCGTCTTGGACTTTAGCACAATATTACCAGATGAAATACTTTCTCATCTAGAAACATGTCTTTTACCTTCTAACTTCCCATACTAAAATATTTCCATACCTATAACTTTCTTCTATCTTTTTTAGTTTCGGACTCTTTCTATAATTTATAGCCTGAAACAATCCTTATGAATGTTATCTGTGCATGTAATTTCCACAACAAATTTCATCACAGGAGAGGGATCAGACAATCTGGTACTTACAAAAACCATGCCTTAATCTTTTTTTTTTTTCTCCCTGATGGCTTTCAAGGGGTTGGGGATGGAGCACAAGATATTTTTGAGGCTGACCTGTCTGCCTTACCAGTATCATGATGCCATCAACTTAAGTGAGTTCCCCACTCTCAATTGTACACAAAGGCTCCTTTGCCTTTTTCTTATATAGGTACATTGACATGCAGAGGCTGCCTACAAAACACAGATTGGCCTTAGTTTTTGTCTTTTCCTTTTCTGGGTGCACTTATTTATTCTGCCAATCTCCCCAGGAATTAAGTTTGATGGGATACTATTAACAGCAAGAACT